GAGACTTGGATATGGGGCCTGTCTGCTGGCTCTGTGGGGGAAGGGCTCAGAAAAAGAACATGATTTCTGCCAGCACTACTGTCGGGGAGAAAATTGCCCCTCCAGCCTCACCATGATGCCAGACATTTCAGTTTTTCCCTGTATGTCCCTGGTTTGAGCTGCTTGTGGAGCTCAGAGGGAGTGAGTCTGAGTAAATCCATGAGTGGGTCCTTTAAGAGGAATTGCCTGGCCCTGGCCGGTTTGGCTCAGCGGTTAGAGCGTTGGCCTGCGGTCCCGAGAGACCCGGGTTCGGTTCCCGCTAAGGGCACGTACTTAGGTTGCAGTTTGTCCCCGGCCCTGGTTGGTTGTGCGGGTGGCAGCCACTCGATGTGTCCCTTTCATGTCGATGTTTCTCTCTCTCTCTCTCTTCCTCTCTCTCCCTCCCACTCTATCTGTACAAAAATTGGAAAAATGTCCTCGGGCGAGGATAAAAAAAAAAAAAAAAGGAATTGCCTGGACTCCAGAAGCCTCTATCTCACTCTGTCACAATCCCCGCTGGTTTTTACAGTCAGAAGTTATGGGGACTTCTCTTCCCAACTCTGGGACCCTGGACTAGGGGCTGGGACCCTCCTCATTCCTCACGGGGGACCTCTGCAGCTGAGATATCCTTCCGGTCCCACATGGGTGTGGGACCAGTCCATTCCGTGTCTCCACCCCTCCTACCAGTCTCAATGTGGCTGCTTCTATATATATCCTTAGTTGTTGTATTTCATTCAGCTAGATTTCAGGTGGTTCTGAATGATGGTTTTTCTGTAGTTTAGTTGTATTTTTGATGTGATGGTGGGGGGATTCTAGTACCGTGTTTACCTGTACTACCATCTTGAATGGAAGCCCAGTTTACATTCTCATACTAAGTTGCTCCACATTCTCACCAACACTTTATATTTGTCTTTTTTGTTTTAGTCATTTTGGTGTATATAAAATAACATTGCATTGTGATTTTAAACTTGCATTAACATAATGACTAATGAGGTTGAGCCCTAGTTCATATATTTATTGACTGTGCGTTTTCCTTCTTGTGTGGTGCCTGTTAAATCTTTATATTATTACTGTTAATTTGTAGGAGTTATTTACATATTCTGGATATAATTCCCTTATCCAGTATATGTACAGTATATATCGTCCTTCCGTTTCTGGCCTTTTCTTTCTCTTAATGGTGTCATTTAATGAACACAAGTTTTAATTTTAATGTAATTCATCTTATCCCTTTTTTCCCTTATAGTTCTTTTTATGACTAATTTAAGAAACCTTTGGCTACTCCTACAAGCTGTCAGAGAATAAAACATTTCACTCACTAAGGCTTCACATTTCTCAACATTGGAAGTTTAAAGGCAATGGAATAACCCTGGGTTTGGTGATCCACTAAAAGAATTCATAGGACTTTGCATATAGTCCTCATGGCTAGGATTTAATACAGTGAAAGAATACAAACAAAATCAGCAAAGGGAAAAGGACATGGGGTGAAGTCTGGAGGAAACTAGGTGCAAGTTTTCAAGCATTTTCTCCCAGTGGACTTGTTTAATTCACACAGGACTTGCTTAATTGCTCTAGAAACTAGTCGAGACAGCACATATGTGAAAGCTTTCACTGTGGATTGGTCATATGGGTACTCTCTGTGGAGCACATAACAAAATTTCAGACTCCCAAAAGGAGAGCCAGATGTTGAATCTTCTGTTCCATAAATACGGTATGCTGCGCTATTTATTTAGGTCTTCATTGCTTTCTGTTTGTTGACCTATACAAATATAATTGAAATTAAGTTCGTATATTGCCCTTGTTTGCTAAACTCACTTATTCTAGTAGTTTTTAGATTACTTTGGATTTTCTGCATAAATAATAATGTCATCTTTCCTTCTTCCTTCATTCCTTCTCTTCCCTTCCTTCTTCTTTCCTTCTGCCCCCCCCCCTTTATCTTGTGTGTTTTCTACCCCCACAACCCTTACCCAATTTCCTATACTGGTAGTACCTCCAAGCAGAATGTTTAATAGAGAAATTTAATTATAAATTTTCACAGTAGCCAACTATAATGTAGAATAGGAGTTTGTTACTTTGGGTTTTTAGTATCTGTTTATTTAACTGTTATGTTTCTATGGACTTCTTAAAAAGTGATTGAATATACTATTTTAGATTTTTCTTTAGGAAATAAATCCAGCAGTGTAAGATATTTCTATCTGCAGCATCGCTCAGTTTTTTATTTTCTAAGCACCATTTGCCCTTTTAGAAAACATTGTTTCTATTAAAATGCTTTCTATATTCTTACAAGTAATTTATTTTGACCTGTTTTATACTGATTTATTTCTCTTGTGCCTTGCAAATCTTTTTAAATATCTGCTATTCAAATTAAGCCATTTTTGCAGTATGATATGAACAAATAATTTATCCATTCCCTCTGACTTGTATAATGTGGTACTTTTTTTTTGTTAATCCTCACCTGAACATATTTTTCTATTAATTTTTTAATCACAAACAGGATTTTTAAAAATATGTTTTTACTGATTTTTTAGAGAGCGAGGAAGAGAGAGAAAGAGACAAAAAAATCAATGTGAAAGAGAAACATTGATTGGCTGCCTCCTGCATGACCCCCACTGGGGATGGAGCCCACAACCTGGGCACATGTCCTGACCTGGAATAGAACCGGGATCTCTCAGTCTATGGGCACCGACTGGGCTTTCCATTAATTTTTAGATAGAGTGGAAGGGCGGGGAGAAAGAAACATCACTGTCAGAAAGACACACCAATCAGTTGCCTCCCACACAACCCCAACCTACCCAGCATGGAACCTGCAACCCAGGTATGTGCCCTTGACTGGGAATTGCACCTGTGATCCTTTGGTCCGTAGGCCTATGCTCTAACCCTCTAACTGCTGAGCCAGAGCAGCCAAGGCTATTGAGTACTTCTTAAGTGGCCACTGTGTGACTTGCTTAAACTTTTTGATCAGTGGCATTTTTAGCAGTTTGAAGAAAGTTTTTAGAAATAATTAATTTGGTTTTTTAATGGAAGGATTAGAAAGTTCATCTCACAACATGTTAGCAGATCTGAAATACACTGCACAGCCTTTCTGCAGAGGAGAGCAAAATTGCACCCATTTATATTCACCCAGTAGCTTCATGTCTTCTTTTCATTAGGTAAAAAACAGACAATTTGTTTTCTCTAGTTAGCTTCTTAAGCTTTCATTTCCTATTTATTGTCTCTACCCTCTCTTCTGTGTCAGTATCAGCTCTATTTTTAATGCATTTTTAAAAAGTAAAATAATTTAAATATACATGAATTTCTAACTGCTAGGGTTTCTTTTGGGGGTGATTAAATCTGGCAGAGCCTAGACTTTCAGAGAATGTTATAAATGACATCTTTCTTTATAAAGGAAAAAAACTGAGAAGATTATTTTCTAAGATTACAGAGAATCAGAGAAAGAGTTGGGGCTTATCTATCTGTATAGCCCTTGGTAGAATTCTTCTAATTGTATCAGTAGGCTTGTTGAATATTATTCAGCTGTATCTGTAGGCTTGTTGAATACTGTTTTTCTCTTGATAATGTAAGTCAGGCTATATGTTATTGGGGGTTCTGATATATTTTTGAGGTGAGGGGCAGAGGCAGTATCCTGAGTTTTTCTTTAGTTGGAAATGCTCTTTGAGTACAAGTACCATGTCCTGTTCATTATTGTCTCCCCTGAAGTGTCTATTGCATAATAGATGCTCAGTAAAATTGTTGAATTGAGATGAGAATGTGAATCATTTGATAAAAAACAGAGGAAAAGGAAGTTGGCTCTTTGACATTTAGGAGTTTCCTTGTTAATGAACAAAGCTGTATTATATGAGCTCCTTGAACTCTTTTCCATTGTTCCCTCTTTGATTCCTCTGACCTGAGTCTCACTTCCTTGTCAAGAGAAACATCTCCATCTATGTCCTCATTCCTTGCTTTCCTGCCTCCTATAGGAAGGACCTAGTTGTATCAGTCATCTCTGACTTTCAGTATCTTCAGTTCTACCTTCTTGAGTCAGTGGCACATTGGGTGTTATTTTCAAAGCTTTACTACCCTTAGAAAAAAGCCCCCCTTGACTTTTATCTCAAGCTACTGTTCTTTGTCTTCCCCTTTGCCATCAAAATTACACAAATTTTTATTCACTTCTCGTTTTCACCTGATACAGTTTCCTCTTTTTATCTTTGTCCTTTTTTACTTTTCATCAGCCTTTGACATTCCTGACTACTTTTATAGTCTTGTATAGCAGAAGGAGGTGGGTTTTGGAGTAGGCAGGCTTGGGTTTGGATTCCTGCTCTTTGTGACCTTGGAAAAATCCTTATCAGAGTCTGGTTTCCTCACTTGTAAAAGGCACCTATGTATGAATGTACTTGCCTGAGAGCTAAGGGAAATGTATTCAATACATGTTCCTTCCCTTGCCCTTGCTGGTTTGTCTCAGTGGTTAGAGTGTTGGCCTGTGGACTGGGGTGTCGCAGGTTCGATTCCCAGTCAAAGGCATGTATGTGCATTGTAGGTTGGATCCCCGGCCCTGGTTGGGATCATGCCAGTGGCAACTAATCGATGTGTCTCTCTCACATCATTGTTTCTCTCTCTCTTTCCCTCTCTTCCTTCCATTCTATCTGGAAATCAATGGGAAAATATCCTCAAGTGAGGACTAAAGAAAAAGTTCCTTCCCTTTGTTTTGCTTGGTTTCTGACACATTGCACTATCCTATATTGCCATACCATTTATGAGGTGGGTAGCAATATTATCGCCATTTTACAAATGAGGATGCTAAGATCATGTAGAAGGTGGTCGTGCTGGTATTCTACCCTGGTGCTTTGGCAGGATTAGCCTAAGGCATAATCTCACTTTTGAAAAACTCTGTCATATGAAAGCACTGTTAAGGAGCAAATTTTAATATGATTTATATCAAAACTCAGTTTATTATAGACAGTAAAGAAACTATTGGTCTAAAACTAGTAAACATTTTTTTTCTCTAATAGGTAATTAATAAAATGTCTCCAACATCTCTAAAGATCACATTAAGGCAACTCATAGAGGGGTCTTCAAAGACCTTGCAAGAAGTATTAATTATGGAATATCGGCTGAGTCAAGCTTGTATGGTAAGACTATTTTGAATTGTTATCATTTTAGAGTTATTAACAATATGTGGTCATGGTAGAACATGTAAAATACAGAAAACTATAAGAAAATGAAAACTACCTGTAAAATGTACTCTATGAAAATCCAATGGGCCAGTTAGCTTAAGGTGTGTGGAGGTATTACTCTCAAGTTGTTACTAAGCCTTTATGAAATAGCAATTACATTAGAATTTAAGTATAAGGCCTCTAACCTTATATGGAATTCAAAATAGAAATTAACCATTTTTCAGGCATGGTCTCTGACCTTGGGCAAAAGGCATAAACTCTCTAAATCTGAATTCCTTCATTGTTTTAAGGTAGTTATGCTACTAAATGGAGATGGGTTCAAGGAGTTCATGAGTGGATATAGAGACCAGATAGGAGTGTATTGCAGTATCCAGGTGCAAAATAGTAGTGGCTTAGACTAGACTGGTGGCAATGGAGAAGAGTAAATGGGTTTGAGACAAATGTAGGAGATAGGATTTAATAGGCCTTGATGATGGATATGAGGGAAAAAATGCATTCATTTATTTATTTTTTAAAAATTGTATTTATAGTCTTTTTTTTTTTTTTAATTGTTGAAAATATGGAAATAATGCATTTAGGAGTTGGAGCTTAGAGGTATGGCTTAGATATTTAAATCTGAAAGACACTAGCACCAATTTTTAAAAAACTGTAGAGCCCAGCTGATATAGCTCAGTGGTTGAGCGTCGACCCGGGCACCAAGATGTCACCAGTTCGATTCCTGGTCAGAATACATGCTCAGGTTGTGGGCCCAACCCCCAATGGGGGGCATGCAGGAGGCAGCCAATCCATGTTCTCTCTCATCGATGTTTCTATCTCTCTCTCCCTCTAAAAATCAATAAAGAAAAAAAATCTGTAAAATCTTTTTTATCCTCACTGAGGACATTTTTTTTTTTTGACTATATCTTCAGATAGAGCAGGAGGGAGAGAGGGAGGAAGAGAGAGAGACATCGATGTGAGAGAGACGCATCAACTGGTTGCCACCCACACGACCCCAACCGGGGCCGGGGCCAAACTGCAACCAACATATGTGCCCTTAGTGGGAACCGAATCCAGGGCTCTCTGGTCCGTGGGCGGACGCTCGAACCGCTGAGCCAAACTGGCCAGGGCTCTGTAAGATCTTTTAAAAAAATAAAAATAAAAAGCTGTAGAGATTTATTTACTTAACAAATAAGAGTATTTACCATGTGCTAGGCACTGTTTGAGGCACCAAGAATACACAGGTAAACAAAACAGACAAAATCCCAACCCTCGCAGAACTTATTTTGTTGTTGAGGAGATAGATCGTAAACAGATAAATTTGCAAAACATACTGAGTATAAGTACTAAGGGAGAAAAGTAAAGTGGAAAGGAGGATATGGATTATAGGGGTAGAGAGGAGGTTTGAACTTGTAGGTGGGTTGCTCAGAGAATACCTCACTGAGATGTTCTTTGAGTAAAAACCCGAAGGAAGTGAGGGAGTGCGCTGTGCAGGTGTCTGGAGGAAGAGTGTCCATGCTGAGGGCCTGCAGAGAGAGCTCAGATGGGGGGCGTGCCTGCCTGCTTTAGGAACCTCAAGGAGGCCTTGTGGATGGAGTGGGATGGGTGGTGACTGGTGAGTGAGAGAAATGAGGTCAGAGCCAACGGGGTAGGGAAGGGCTGCCTAGAGCATGTATGGCCTTGGAGGCCTCTGTAAGACTTTGATTTTTGTTCTAAGAAAGTGGAAAGCCACTGGATGTTTTTGAGCAGAGGAGTGACATGATCTTATATTTTAACAGAATTGATCATTCAGCAGTTGAATGGATAAGATCATATAGAAGGAAAATGAGAGAGCCCTGATCTGAGCCCCAAGCAGCTCCAACATTTTGAAGTGGGCTAGAGTAGAAAGAGCAGTGCAAGGGAAAGATGGAGGGGGAGAACCAGGAGAGTGAGGTGTCAGGAAAGCAAGGGAGAAGTGTTTCAAGGAGGAGGGAGCACTGGTGAAGCATCTGGTAGGTGAGGATTAAGGCATCGCTGTCTACTAAAGTTATGGGTGATTTGGGCAAGCCATGTCAGGAGTGTTGGGGCAGAAGTGACAGTGTGGTAACTTGGAGAGGAAGTGAGTCAATGGGATGTGAAGAAGTGGAGATTGTTTAAAACTCTTTGTTCTTCAAACAGAAATAGGGTAGAATATGGGACTGTGGAACCAAGTGAGGTTCCTTTATCTTGTAAGGTGGAAGATTCTAGAACATGTTTATATATCATTGAGAAGGATATAGTGGAGCATGCAGGTCATGTCGATGATACTAATAATAGTTAACATTCACTGAATACTTACTGTGTGTCAGACACTGTGCTGGTATGTGGATCAAGGTAATCCTATGATTGATGCATTGATACTGCCATTTCAGGAAATTAGGGGTTAACAAGAAATGACTGCCCCAAGGTCACACAGTTACTATGTAGTAGAGCCAGGAGGTGAACCCTGACATTTGAACTGCATGCACCCAGCCACGAATTTATACTGCCTACATTGATGCCAGGAAAAGAGAGAGAGATGGGAAACCTCCTCAGGCAAAGTCGTTGAGAAGGAAAGGGAATGGGAATGGAAATGCAGGGTGGGACTGGCCTTTGAAAGGCGATGGTCCCTTCTTCCACCGGCAGGAGAGGGAAGTCATGGTGCAGATGGCTGTAGTTGGGCTGCGGGTGTTTGAGAAGAGAATTTCATGTCTTAGGTCTTCTTTTTTTTTTAATGAAGTAGAAGGTTAAGTCGTTAGCTGAGAATCTAGTGAGGGTAGAGTTTGTTAAAGAAACAGAAGACAGTTTAAATCATTATCTTAGGGAATGGGCAAGAGAGCATGGGCTATTGGGCAGTTTTCCATGCCTGTTTGAGATTTGTGATTATGAATTTTAAGTGAAACAAGTCACAGTTTTAAAATTTTATTGCAGCAAGATTTAGCTCCTCGAATGCAAGCAGAGGTAAATGGTAGGATTCAGCTGGTGCTGGTACTTTGCCAGGGCAGAATTAAGGGGGGCGGGGAGGAGGGTTGAGGGAGATGAGGACATTTTCAAGGAAAAGTGACCACATTAATTGGGGAAGCTGGGCTGGATGAAGAGTGACATGAAGCCACAACAAACTGTGAGAGTTGCAGGGTCAGAGGCCCTCGCAGTAAGACCAGGGCTTTGCAGCAGTGGAGATACTTGAGCACATCAGGATCAGGATGGTGATCAGAGAGTGGGTCATAGAGCCCATCCAGTTTCTGATGTGGCGGTTCAGGGTGTGCCATGGAAGGGGGAGGCTAACGTGGGTGTAGAGGGAGATCACCAGGAATAAGGACGCTCAGAAAGTTTCCATTTAATCTTGTTTCTTTCAGGGAGGCCATGACTTTTTTGAAGGTGTCAGGGCAGGTAAGTGACAGTTGTTTCCTTCCTAGATATCATGGAAATAGATGTGAGCATATACCGGTAATGAGAGATGATAGTCGTCTTATTAGTAAAAATTACTTTTTTTTTTAAATCCTCACCCAAGAACATTTTTCCATTTTTTGTTCAGATAGAGTGGGAGGGGGAGAGAGAGAGAGAGAGGGGGAGAGAGAGATAGAGATAGAGATAGAGAGAGAAGCATCGATGTGAAAGGGACACATGGAGTGGCTGCCTCCCACACGACCCAACCAGGGCCGAGGACAAACCACAACCAAGGTACATGCCCTTAGCGGGAACCGAACCCAGGTCTCTCTGGACCGCAGGCCGACGCTCTAACCGCTGAGCCAAACTGGCCAGGGCAAAAAAATTAGACTTTTATAAAGACTGTAAAATGTTTTTAAAAATATTATCAACTGGCATATAGGGAAGATAAGTCTTTGCATCCAATATTGTTTTAAAAATGAACATACCCTGGGCCCTGTTCCCTAATATATATATAAGAGGTTATCCTGTTTCTAAAGTCACATGCAGAGGCAGTGTGAGCTTGTAAACTCATTCTGATGCTGAAACCTTTGAAGGGACATTTATTCCCTTGCAAAATCCCAGCAGTGGCCGGTGCCTCCCATCCACCTCGTCTATACCTGAGAAACACTGACATTGAGAAAAACTATATGGCATAATTAGTAAAATCTGCTGTTTTTATTAATTTCTATTTTTGCTTATCACCTTCAAAGCCAGCATATTTAGAAAAAGCAAGTGCAGTGGTGGTGGTTGTTTTTTTTGTTGTTGTTGTTCTAGCAAATTTTCGTATGCATATGCTCATATCCCTAAAAATAATAGCTGTTATGTCTGTTGTATGAGTTTTCCCTCTGCATGTACTTTGCATATCTAATTTTGTTATATTTTTATTGATCGCTTTAATATAGTACAGACTGTGGATATACTTTATCTGAATAAAAGGTTATGTTTTCTGAGCTGTAAGCTTAAGTAAACATTGGTCATTTTTTGTAGAATTTTCTTAATTTATGGCATGATATAATATCAGAAATAAGCAGTGGGTTCACATCCTTTTAGAGAACACATGGAAGTGAGTCAGAGGAGATAACTATATGTTTTATAAAAAAACAAATAAAATATGCATTTTTCCACTAATTTCCATCAAATTCTTGCTGCATGTGGATCAGAGTCTAGACTTTTGATTTTAGGAGAATCTGTGTGGTGGTTATGCTGCTAAAGTAGTCATTATATGTTATAGCAGCCCTTCTTAAACTTAACAGAGAAAGGTATTGTTTTTAGATATACAGTCGGTGATTTTAAGGAAAAGAATTGAAACCAAGCAGCATTAAAGTTCTGATTTATAATGCAAGTTCTTATCAAGCTACTTTTTATTTATTATTTTTAATAATTTTCTTCTTTACTGGTTTTAAAGAGGAAGGGAGAGAGAGAAACATCAATGAGAGAGAAACATCGTTTGGCTGCCTCCTGCATGCCTCCCACTGGGAATTGGGCCCACAGCCTGAGCATGTGCCCTGACTGGGAATTGAACCGGCGACCTCTTGGTGCATGGGTTGATGCTCAACCACTGAGCCACACCAGCTGGGCTCAAGCTACTTTTTAATAAAGAAAAGTATATTGCCTTGTTTTTCAGTATAACCTTTTTGTTCAGAAAACAGTATTTATTCTAGGTAAAAATGGTGTTTTTGCATAACCAAATGTTTGCTTCAGTTGGCTAATTATAAAATATATTAGCAAATGAAATAAAATTAGCAAATTAGGGGAATGGTTGTCAAAATTTTTTACTCTTAACATCAAGAACAGACTTCTTCCTGGTCATAGAAGAAAATAAAAATAGATTATCTTAGCAGAGCTAGAGAGCTACCAAATGGAATTTGAGAGGGTATCTCATGAGACCTGAAAAACCTGAGCTGCCTACATGGCAAGAACTTGTGATATGTATGCTAGGTAAAAATTTCGGTTAGTTTGAAATAAAACACGCAGATTTTATCATTCTCTTTCCTTTTGCCCTTCAGTGGACTGTCAAGGAGGTATAGCATTGGCCAGAAGGTTTAAAAGGAATCCTCGTAGAAAGAATGTTCCAGGATTGTTTTTAAAGTTGGCAGGGATTGTAGCATCATTGTTCAATATCATCACTGATCTGGTGATGCTGGAATCCTGAAGTTAGGCAGCCAAACCTTAAAAACCTCCACTATCCATATTTAATTATGCATGAAGCCCCCCTTCCCTCTACCTCCTGAGGCAGCCTGCTTTCTTGGTTCCCAGATTGCATCTTTAATTATTTACCCTTTAATTTTAAATGCAGTTTTTTATATAGAATTTGTATGTTTAAATATTTTCTTTCTTCACAAGAACTATACACATTTTAAGCATGGTTAAAATTGCCTTCTACAACCAGATTAAATATAGTCCCCTTCCCTTAAAAATTTTTTTTGAGATAACTGTAGATTCACAAGCAGTTGTGAGAAACACTGTCGAGAGATCCTGCATACCCTCCATCCAGGTGCCCAAATGGTAGCATTTGTATAACTATAATATATTGTCACATCCAGGAAACTGACATTCCTCTCCCTTTTTAAAGGCGACTTTACAGATGGCCTCATACTATAATCCTATGGGAATACTGTATGTCTATACTAAATGATGACACCACTGAAATAGGAGAAGTAGGGTTTTTCATGATAACCTGAAGATGGGCTGGTGTTTTAATTCAGAGCTGTGTGAACTAGAGGACTCAGCAGAATGGCAGTGTCCACATTTAATTATGCATAAAGCCCCCTTTCCTCTGCCTTAAGTAATTTTCCTCTCAATTCATTGTGGAAGACGTTAGAAGGCAGATCTGCACCCTCTCCTGCTTTCCCTTGAAATTACACCAACTCTGGTTTTAGCTGTTTTAAATAAGAGGGATATTTCATTTATGATTTAGTTTGAAGAAGAAAAGACTTCTAGTCCAATCCACTGGATTTGTTCAGTAGGCTGTATTCAAGCTAGAGGCATCAGGCCTAGCAGGCTAGAAAATAACCACACAGTCCTCATCAGTACATTGCTCTCCCTCCAAAATCCATCGGGCTTAATTTATAAGAAAAAACAGACATACAAAAATTCAAACTTTGCAGAAAAATATGTGCTGTAGAAATATATGCCGCCTAGGCACAAGGTAGTTTGTCAATTCAGTAATTAAAATCTGGCAATCCAGAAAGAAATGAACTAACATTTCTTATGTCTTCACTTTACAGTTTTAATAGATAAAGACCAGAGTCCAAAGTGGAAACCAGCCAATCTAAAAGAAGTTACTGATGAAGATGTGAATAATTATTTTAAATCTCTGGGAAGCAATGATTTGAAATTTTGAAGTGACTGGATTTTGAAGGTATTTTGGAACAGGGGTTGGCAAACTACGGCACAGCACCCAAGTCTGGCCTGCTACCTGTTTTTTATATATCCTGCAAGCTGGGAATGGCTTCTGCATTTTTAAATGGTTTGGGTAAGAAATCAAAGACTAATCTTTCATAACTTGTGAAAACTGCATGAAATTCAAATATCACTGTCCATAAATAAAGCTTTATTGGAACATAGCTGTACTCATCTGTTTACATATTATCTATGGCTGCTTTGGGTGATTGCAGCAGACATTGTAAGACCTGCAAAGCCTAAATTATTTACTATTTGGTCTTTTCAGAAAAATTTTCAACCTCTGTTTTAGAAGATGGGAAATTTGAAGATCTTTAGAGATTCTTGAGTTACTATAGCTAATTGAAATAGGAACTTAATGTTTTGGCTTTGGGTAGTTGTTTATATGTTTATTAAATCAAATTATGTATAGCTTATAAAAAAATTAAAACCCTGAAATTCTTTTGGATACTGTGTTAATGCTTTATAGAATTTTCTCCATATATAAATCTATTTTAAAATAATTATGAGTTACTATAGCAGAAGTGTTCCTTTTATAACATTAGAAATCTCAGGCAAAGAGAAAAGGTTTTTATGAAGTTGTCTTTCTAGTATTATTAAATCAGCCTTGGCATTTTCTTTTTTTGTTTTGTTTTGTTCAGATAGAGTGGGAGGGAGGGAGAGGAAGAGAGAGAGAGAAAGAAGCATCGACGTGAAAGGGACACATCGAGTGGCTGCCACCCGCACGACCAACCAGGGCCAGGGACAAACTGCAACCGAGGTACGTACCCTTAGCGGGAACCGAACCCGGGTCTCTCTGGACCGCAGGCTAACGCTCTAACTGCTAAGCCAAACCGGCCACGGCAGCCTTGGCATTTTCTAAAGTTAACCACAATCCTGCCCTGGCCGGTTTGGCTCAGCGGTTGGAGCATCGGCCTGCGGACCAGAGAGTCCTGGGTTCGGTTCCCACTAGGCCCTAGCGGCTAGGGGCATGTACCAAAATAAATAAATAAATAAATAAATAAAGTTAACCAGAATCCTTTCCTGTGGTGCAAGTGAACACATTCTTTTTTATTGTTCGCAATATTTGCTAATCTGGCAGATGAGGAATTTGGAAACTCTGGTCTCTAAGATAGAGGCACTCTGCTTTCTGCAATTTACATCAAACTTTTGTGTGATAATTGTTATTGTTATTTGTCCTTACACAGTTCAAATCAGGAGGGAAAAAATAACAAGGACTTTCATTTAAAATAGAAATACCTTCTCCCAGCTGGTGTGGCTCAGTAGTTGAGTGTCGACCCATGCACCAAGAGGTTGCCAGTTCGATTCCCAGTCAGGGCATATGCCCAGGTTGTGGGCCTGAATCCTAGAGGAGGGCATGCAGGAGGTGGCCAGTTGATGTTCTCTCTCATCGATGTTTCTATCCCTTTCTCCCTCCCTTTCTCTCTCTCTAAAAATTAATAAGGAAAAAAAAATACCTTCAATAATTGGTACTGTTGACAAAATAAGTTTTTTTTTAAGGTATGTAAGAAACTGCAAGGTATTTGAGACCTGGGACTTTAAAGTCTAGGTAAGAATAATTTAAGTTAAAGATCAGTTTATCATTTATTTTGTAACTTGTATTGTTTTTCCTTCATTGTGAACCCCTCAGAAACTAAGAGAACTTCAAGTTTGTAAGAACAAAAATTGGCAGAACTGAAAATGACATCAAAGGTTTTATCCTGTACCCTTCTTATAGATGGGGAGGTTGCAGGCCACAGGAATTGCTTTAAATATTGTTCTTAATATATTAAACAAGAAGGATTTTTTTTCTTCCAAAAATTTTAAGAACAGTTTTGGAATAAAGATGCCGTGATAATGGACATGTTTACATTTCTATTCTTAAAGCTCCTAAATTGGACCTGAAAGATCTGGGCAGTTGCTTGCATTAGTGGATTTTTATTCACTTTGTATTTGTTAGAAATGCAGAAAATGTTAAGTCCTCTATGTTAAAATGTTTACACAGTGTTGAAAAGCATTTGCTTACCAAAATTAAATAAGAACTTATATCTAGTTAGTTGCAACTAGATTTTTATTGTACAGTTACAAAAAAGGTGTTTTCACAAAAATATTTGGAAAAAATATACCATTTCATAGCTAAGTCTAACAGAGAAGAGAATTGGCTAATAAAAATTGAGTTTTGCAAAGTAAGATATAGAGAGTGCATCCAAGCTTGTGCCCAGTGCTCCAAGCTAGACATGTCCTATTTGGTCACACAAATACAGGAAGGCATTATAATTAAGCAAACAATATATTTGTTAGAACTTTATTTTTAAATTACCGTTTATTAACATTATTTATAGTGTGTCTTTAACTTTTGATTTCTAAAACTTTATAATACAAAAGTACAGTTCCTTCATTTCATAAAACATCAATGATACTGAGTAAGATACAGGAATATTATGCTTTGTTAGTTCCATATGCCTATTTTCAATATTAGTAAGGCAATTTGACACAAATTATTCTTTTGGGACTATGATCATTTTTATCCCTTTCAAAATTGTGCTTTAAGTGCTAATAATAACCATAGGTAGTTTGCAAGAACTGGTAAGGCAATTGAAAGTGGAGAGGGAACTTGCATCACAAGCCTGTAACTGATGGTGATTGGACTGGGGAAGCCCATTTGTGGGGTTAGGTCATGAGACTCTTTGTAAAGGAGGAACTGGCACATTTCCTCTGATAACCTGCTTCCATAATTGCCACCTGCAGGTTCTTTGTCACATTGGGAGCAGCTCATCTGCCCCTGTGCTGGATCCAGTGGTTGGGTATGTATCAGTGTGGTAAAGAGGGGAGCTGCTACTCCAGTGTTCTGTCCCTGAGGGGAAAACACTGGAAACTTGTTTCTGCAGTGTGTCTTCTGATGGAGTTTGGCATTAGTGCTGTTTCGGGGGCTCTCTTTTCCCCACTTTCCTTTCCCTTACTATTTAAAAGAATTATTAGCTACTGAAAATGGAAACGTTTGTTCCAGTTTATAAGAATAATGACTGGTCCTCTCTCAAATAGTCCTTTTACTTTTTTTTTTTTTTTTAATCCTCACCCGAGGACATTTTTCCATTTTTGTTCAGATAGAGTGGGAGGAAAGGAGAGAGGGAGAGAGAGAATGAGAGAGAGAGAGAGAGAGAGAGAGAGAGAGAGAGAGAGAGAGAAACATCAACATGAAAGGGATACATTGAGTGGCTGCCTTCCTCAACCAGGCCAGGGGACGAATCACAACTGAGGTACATGCCCTTGACCAGAATCAAACCCGCAATTCATTGGTCTGCAGGCCAACACTTTAACCACTGAGCCAAACTGGCCAGGGCTCCTTTTACCCTTTTATTGTCCATGTAAGACCTTTAAAATGAAGTAAATCTAATATTTAAATATGAAGGTATGCAAGAATCTGAATTATCTTATTAAAGATGTTCTTATGTATCTTGTCATCAGTGCCAAACTATACCGCACGCAGTACAAATTTGTTTATGCGGCTCTTTCTCCTGCCTGCTCCCAACTTGGTTTATCCACTAATGCTCTGATGATGCAAGCCTTGTAGTGCCTTGTCCATGATTTGACATATATAGCGTACATTTCCAAGATAAGTCTGTGTGTCACAGGATATTATGCTCTGTTAAAATGATTCAGGAGTGAGGGCATGGTGCTTGGTGACAAAACTACTGCCAGAGTGTCAGAGCGGGTGGCAACAGTTTACTCTTCCAGCTAGATGTGAGTCTGGAGGGCATTACACCCCTGGGAAATAGGGACCCAGAATAAAGTAGGAACCTGAAGTTAAAATATTTAGATAAAATCAAAACCCAGTAGCTAATATCCCTATGTGTGCCAAAAATTTTAGTGTGATGTGCTGCTTTTATATGGCTTTGTGTTATCATCATAATATGTATTATTTTACATACCTAATTTATCTTTCAGCAAATGACCTTGCAGCAAAAGTATCCTGATGTGAGATATAAAATGAATGAAAAATGGCAACATCTAGGCTTTTGTCTGAGTCAGTAGTATCACTCAGAAACCTAAATTTTTCTTTCATGAGCTGAAAATACATTTTGCTGTTTTAGGGAACTTTTTTTCTCAGCCTTATGGACTTCAGGTCCTTGTGTAAACAGGGGTGGTTTTTCTATTTTCTGAGTTGCTAAGATGGCCTGGGACTAGGTGAAGTGAAGGTTAAATGACCAGATATCCAAAGGCAGCAAAAAGATAGCGCATCATTCACTTCAAATAAGTTTCTTTGCCTACATAACTTAGAGAATTCATTCTACTCAGTTGTGGGTTCCAAAGTATAATTGTTAAAATTAGAGGTAGCATTTCTGTCTGCTTAAAGGCCAAATATTTATTTCATTAAAGAGCCTTTCTCTGCCTTCCTGTAGATTTCAGTGACAAGGGACTGTTGTATCTTAATAAAGTGATCTAACACACATGGGATCCTTGACACATGGTTTTGACAAACAACCCATTGCCAAGACGTTTCAAGAGAAATTCTTTTCATGTCTTGGGGGTTTGGGTGTAAATTAAAAAATAGTTATTTTAAAGGATTGTCTTTAAACTATTTGGAGATTTGGGGCACTTTTTATTTCTTTGGTGATGCTATATTCTCTCAAGAAGAAAGTGGGGTGATATACAGCGGATTACTGTACTATAGGACCCATGTTGAACCCTTTAAGTAACTAAAATCTAAGACCGAGCAGATAGAAATTGCTATTACCAAAGAATTGCTTAAAACACATTTCACTTTAGGTATTCCTGTACTCTTGATATTATCATAGACTGATTTTTACATTCAGATGGAATCATGTATATATTTATACAACTTTTTGCTTTTGTTTCATGTATTTAAACTAGCACCAACTATGTCCATAGTTCAAGAAAGTGTCATAATTCTGCAGGGTCAAGGCCCCTCACTTTCAATGAAGGGGATGTCAGAGTACTTGGTGTTCCTGTCGGCCCACTGCTTCAAGGCATCACTCAGGATTTCCTGGGACAGGCGATGTGCAAATTCGCAGACCACGACTTTGGGTCCTTCGGGTTCCTTCACTTCCTCATTAATAACTGGAGGAGGTGTTGTAGGTTGCAATCTCTCTTCCGACATAAAACTTTCTGCACTTGGGTGCCGCTTGTCACTCTCAATTGTGGTGGGAAATGGGAAAGTTTGCTTTGATTTCATGCAGCCCATGTTCTGAAGAACTTTGAGTGAAGCAAGGCAGTAGGAAAAACTACTTCAACACCATCTTTGGAAAACACTGAACATTTGTCCACGTGATATTGACCACTAGTTTTCCTCTCCAGGCCACTTCCAAAATCTGTTCCTTTCACCCCCTCCTCACATGTAGTGTTGATCTGTCAAGAGAAGAGAAGTTTCATTGTGAAGGTATAGAACGCAAAATACGACATGATCATGTAGCATGTAGAAAGGCTTTTTTTGTTTGTTTGTTTTTAACACTTTGGTCGCTTGGAGGTAACTATAGCTTTATCTTATCAGTAGAAAAAAGGATAATCACTCAATGAAAATGGCAAGTTACAAAATAGGAAAACATTTTTTCTCAAGATCTTGAAAAGTTTATAACACTAAAAACACAGTTAAACTTTTGCTAGTTTAGATTTATTTATGTTTACCAGGGATCAACAAACTATAGTCTTTGGGCCAAATCCTAGCTGCCTGTTTTGTATATAAAGTTCACTGGAACACAGCCATACCCACTTGTTTACATAGCTATGGCTACTTTTTAATTTTTTTTTAACTTTCTCACTCTGCAGGGGTCTTATACAAGTTGAGGACAAGTCTGAGGGGTCAGATATAAGCAGCACAATGTATACAATCTTGAAGTAGATTGTGGAGATCAAAGGTGGGAGCTAAGTGGGCAACAGAGCCATGAGAATGATGCAAACTCATTTCTGGCCCAGGCCTCTGAGGGCAAAGTGGTGGGAGCTACTGTCCACTCTGATGGCACAGAACTACAATCAGAGGCTCCCGGACTACACGAACTAAAAACGCAGACCAGGCAGCAGGGCCTGGGCGAGCTCCCGCACATCTCTCTCCAGGCGGTCCTCATTCTGTGGGCAGCAGATTGGATCAGGTGGTGGACAGTCTTTCTGGTGGAACCAAGCAGAATCTTTTGAAATACTTCACTTCTTTCTCTGTCTCATCCATATCTAGTGTTTGTAGTCAATATCTTTTGTTTTCATTTTCTTTTTTTAATTTTTTTAATGTTATTTATTTTTGTTACAGATGTTTCTCCTTTTTCCCCCCACTGATTCCCCCCTCCCCCTGCCCCTCCCTCCCAGCCCTGTCCCCAGCTTTGTTGTCCATGGCCATTGTTCATGCATACATGCATATAAGTTCTGTGGTTTACCTCTCCCCCACCACCCCCTGTTCTGGGGATTGTTAGTCTCTACCCCACTTCTACGTCTCTGGGACTACCCCATTCCTCAGACTGTTATGTTCATTATATTCCACAAATAAGTGAGAACATATGATACTTGTCTTTCTCTGTTTGGCTTGTTTTGCTTAGGATAATACTTTTGAGGTACCTCCATGTAGTCTCAAAAGATAAGGGATCTATCTTTCTTACGGATGCATAGTATTCCATTGTGTATATGTACCACAGCTTTTTTATCCATCTACTGATGGATGGATCTTAGCTATTGTAAATAGTGCTGCTACAAACATGGGGGTACATATATTTTTTCTGATTGGTGTTTCAGGCTTCTTAGGGTATATTCCTAGAGGTGGGATCACTGGGTCAAATGGAAGTTCAATTTTTAATTTTTTGAGGTAACACCATATTGTTTCCCATAGTGGCTGCACCAGTCTGCATTCCCACCAGCAGTGTACTAGAGTCCCCTTTTCTCCACACCCTCGCCAACCCTTGTTGTTTGATGATTTGTTGATGGCGGCCATTCTGACAGGTGTGAGGTGATTCCTCATTGTTGTTTTAATATGCATCTCTCTGATGATTAGTGATGTTGAGCATTTCTTCATAAGTCTCTTAGCCATGTGTATGTTCTGTTTGGAGAGGTGTCTATTTAGTTCCTCTGCCCATTTTTTAATTGGGTTCTTTGTCTTCCTTTGGTTGAGTCATATGAGCACTCTAAATATATTGGAAATTACCCCTTATCTGATATATCATTGGCAATTATGCTCTCCCATACAGTGGGTAGCCTTTCCGTTTTGATGATTGTATCTTTCGCTGTCCAGAAGCTTTTGAGTGTGATGTAGTCCCATGTGTTCATTTTCTCCTTTGTTTCTGTTGCCTTAGGTGATGTATTAGTGAAAATTCTGCTGTGTATGATGTCTGAAATTGTGTTGCCTACAGTTTCTTCTAGGATTTTTATGGATTCATGAGTCACATTTAAGTCTTTTATCTATTTTGAGTTTATTCTTGTGTAGGGCATAAGTTGATGGTCCAGTTTCATTTTTTTTGCATATAGCTGTCCAATTTTCCCAACACCATTTATTAAAGAGGCTCTCCTTACTCCACTGTACGCTCTTGCCACCTTTGTCAAATATTAATTGAGCATAATGTCTTGGGTCCATTTCTGGGTTCTCTGTTCTGTTCCACTGGTCTATATGCCTGTTCTTGTGCCAGTACCAGGCTGTTTTGATTACAGTGGCTTTATAGTATAACCTGAAATCTGGTAACGTGATCCCTCCAACTTTGTTCTTCTTTTTCAAGATTGCTGTGGCTATTCAAGGTCTTTTTTGGTTCCATATAAACTTTTGAAGTATTTGTTCTAATTCTGTGAAGTATGTTGTTGGTATTTTGATGGGGATTGCATTGAATCTATAGATTGCTTTGGGTAGTATGGACATTTTAATGATGTTAATTCTTCCAGTCCATGAACAAGGTATGTGCTTTCACTTTTTTATATCTTCCTCTATTTCTTTTTTCAATGACCTGTAGTTTTCTGTGAATAGGTCCTTTATTTCTTTGGTTAAGTTTATTCCTAGGTATCTTAATTATTTTTTGCTGCAATGGCAAATGGGATTGTTTTTTCAGTTTCTCTTTCTGTGAGTTCATCATTGATGTATAAGAATGCCATCGATTTCTTGACGTTAATTTTGTATCCTGCTACTTTTCCAAATTCATTTATTAAATCTAGTACATTTTTTATGGAGTCTTTGGGGTTTTCTATGTATAGTATCATGTCATCTGCGAATAATGAGAGTTTCACTTCCTCCTTTCCAATTTGGATCCCTTTTATTTTTTCTTCCTGTCTGATTGTTGTGGCTAAGACTTCCAGTACTATGTTAAATAGGAGTGGCGAAAGTGGGCATCCTTGCCTTGTTCCTGTTAAGGGAAATGCTTTTAGTTTTTCCCCATTGAGTGTGATGTTGGCTGTAGGTCTTTCATATATGGCCTTTATTATGTCTAGATATGATCCCTCTATTCCCACATTGCTGAGCATTTTTATCAGAAATGGATGCTGGATTTTGTTGAAGGCTTTTTCGGCATCTATTGATATGATCATGTGGTTTTTATTCTTTATTTTATTTACGTGGTATATCACGTTTATTGATTTGCGAATATTGTACCAGCCTTGCATCCCTGGGATGAATCCCACTTGGTCATGGTGAATAATTTTTTTGGTGTATTGCTGGATACGATTTGCTAGTATTTTGTTCTGGATTTTGGCGTCTATGTTCATCAGGGATATTGGCCTGTAGTTTTCTTTTTTATTGTAGTGTCTTTTTCTGGTTTTGGAATTAGAATTATGCTGGCTTCATAAAACGAGTTTGGAAGTCTTCCTTCTTGAATTTTTTGAAATAATTTGAGGAGAATGGGTGTTAGTTCTTCTTTGAATGTTCGGTAAAACTCCCCTGTGAAGCCATCTGGGCCTGGGCTTTAGTTTGTTGGGAGAGTCTTGATTACATCTTCAATTTCTTCTGTTGTTATCAGTTTGTTCAAGTTTTCTATCTCTTCCTGTTCCAGTTTTGGGAGGCTATGTTTTTCTAGAAATTTGTCCATTTCGCTTAGATGGTTGAATTTGTTGCCATATAATTGTTCATAATAGTTGTTAACGATCTTTTGTATTTCTGTGGTGTCAGTTGTTACTTCTCCTCTTTCATTTCTGATTTTGTGTATTTGGGTTCTCTCTCTTTGTTTCTTGGCGAGTCTAGCTAAGAGTCCATCAATCTTGTTTATCTTTTCGAAAAAGCAGCTCTTTGTTTCATTGATCCTTTGAATTGTTTTTTTGGACTCTCTGTCGTTTATTTCTGCTCTGATCTTTACTATTTTCTTCCTTCTACTTGCTCTGGGGTTTTCTTTTTGTTTGCGCTCTAGTTCTTTAAGTTGTCAGGTTAGTCTATTAGAGATTTTTCTTGGTTTTTGAGGTAGGCCTGTAGTGCTATGAACTTCCCTCTCAGGACTGCTTTCACTGCATCCCATAGATTTGTGTTGTTGTGTGTTCATTTTTATTGGTTTCCAGGAAGCTTTTAATTTCTTCCTTGATCTCCTTGGTAACCCATTCATTGCTTAATAACATGCTATTTAGTTTCCATGTGTTCAAATGTCTTTGCATGTTTTTGTTGCAGTTGATTTCTAGTTCATTGCCATTGTGATCTGAGAAGATGCTTGATATGATTTCAGTCTTCTTGAATTTGTAGAGACTTAGTTTGTGTTCTAACATGTGGTCTGTTTTTGAGAATGTCCCATGTGTACTTGAGAAGAATGTGAATTCTGTAGTTTTTGGGTGTAATTCTCTGTAGATATCTATTAAATCCATTTGGTCTAGTGCTTCATTTAGAGTCTCTGTTTCCTTGCTAATTTTTTGTCTAGAGGATCTATCCAGTGATGTCAGCGGGGTGTTGAAGTCCCCTACTGTGATTGTATTGCTGTTGATTTCTCCTTTGAAGTCCTCCAGAAGATTTTTAATATATTTTGGTGCTCCTATATTGGGTGCATATATGTTTATCAAGGTTATATCTTACTGTTGGATAGATCTTTTCAATATTATGTAGTGACCTTCTTTGTCTCTAGTTATGGCCTTCATTTTGAAATCTATTTTATCAGATATGAGTATTGCTACCCCAGCTTTTTTTTCCTTTCCATTTGCTTGGAAGATTTTTTTTCCATCCCTTCACTTTCAACCTATGTGAGTCTTTTGTTGTGAGGTGGGTCTCTTGTAGACAACATATAGATGAGTCATGCTTTCTTATCCAATCAGCTACTCTGTGTATTTTTCTGGGAGCATTCAATCCATTTACATTCAAGGTCATTATTGATATGTACTTATTTATTGCCATTTTTGTTTAGTTTGGTTATATTTTTCTTCCTATTTCTCCTGCTAATTACAGCAGTCCTTTTAACATTTCTTGCAGTGCTGGTTTGGTGCTAATG